GTGATAGGAAAGAGGGATTTGGGGAGGAGAAGGAAAAGTAAACTACCATTCAAACCTGGTGTGATAGTGCATGGCTGTAGTCCTAGCATTTGAGGGAAGTAGAGGCAAAGGGCTTGGGAGTGCAAGATCTTCCTTGGCTACATACTAAGTTCAGGACCAGCCTGAACTACAGGAGACCCTGTCTCAATAACAAGGCAAAGAAAACAAGAATCTAACACCCAGGCAAAACCCTGAGTGAAAATTGTATCCCTGGTATGAAAGAATACTTACTTGTTTTTTAATGTGTGAGACCAAGGAATAATGAAATGTCTAAGTGTCTAGCAAAGCTCTTTCAGAGGTGTAAATGAAAACTTTTAGGCAAAAGAATATCGAGTTGCAGGATAAATGAGGCTTCCAGGCAGTGTATAAAATGATTGATCTTGCCTTACATTCAATGACTAGCAAAGAAATTTTTGGAAGAGATCCATCTTGTAAATCTGTTATTGTTGCGTTCACCAACTCTTTTTCTGGTTTGCCTTTTAGAATTGCTCAAGGCGTGATGGTCAGACCAGTTTGTACCCTACACCAGGTTTATGGGAAGTTTTGAATCAACCCTAATAACTTTGATGAAAAATGAGTTGTTTGTATTTTCTTGTTTCATGTTTAAGCAAAATACTATCTAAAAGCATGGGCTTTATCATAAATTATTTTAGGAGTTAAATGGATGTTTCATAAACTTTTTTTTTTCTGTTCAAATACTGAAAACATCCCACATATCTATAGATAATGAACACTTCCGGTTCCGCCTCCACATGGGTAAAAGACACTTCTGGTTCCCGTCTCCCCAGCTTCAACCCAGGATCCAGCAAGGAAGGGAGCAGAGGAAGAGCAGCTGCTCTGGGAACTCTCCTCTGCCACTACTATGTACATCTGCTTTGCTAAAGGGACTTTGTGCCTCCTTAAGATCTTGGCTGTCACTCTGGTCTTTGAGTTGCTGAAATGAAAACACCACAAATTAGGCAGCTTATCGACAACAGCTATCTCTCGGTTCTTGGGGCTGGGAAGCCCAAGGTGAAGGCTCTCTCGGATTGTATCAGGTGTGGTGCACACTCCTGGTTCAGAGACGGTGTTTTCTCCATGTGCACTCACAGGGCAGACAGGGCTGAGCTAGCTCCCCGGGGCCTTCCATACAGATGCCCGAGGCCAGGCGCTTGCACGGTTCCCACTCTTACACAGTCTCCTCAAAGACTAAGTTCTACACCAACTTGGAAGTGCCCTAAGTGTTCAGAGTGCAGGATGGAGAGAGCCACCAGCTGTGTGTTATAATCTTTAAGGGGAACAGACTGAACTTGGCACAGGGGAACCTGGCTTGTTACTAGACATGTAGAAATGCAATTGTTGCTGCCTTTTAAGAAAAAAGCCATCGTCACTTCACCTACCGGGTAAGATAACTTCAAGAACACAGTTGCTAGGACTTGACGTGTCCTCTACTGCAAATCGAATCTCCAACTTAAAGAAAAAAGGACACAGGGGAGTAGTTTGGAGTTTCCTGAAAATCACACTTTGGGATTATTCTGAATGCTGGAGTTAAAAACATTTTTTCCCCTAAAACACATAAACATTTACTTCATAAATCTAATCAAAATTCCATTAAAATAAAATAAAATAAAATAAGCAGAAGAGAAGTATTGCATTTGGATTTATTGGGGGGGGGAACTTACCTCCTAATATTAATGCTTTCAAGAATTGCCAAGACGTAGATTCAAATAAGTTTAATTAATATTTAAAATTCACTTTTATCAGCAAGATAATTCCTTTCTTAAAAATACAGAAAAATGGCTGTGTCTGCAAAAATGATTAACTCCAAGAAATATGCTAGGTTTGCTTATTATTATTTTTACTTTTTCTTAAGTATGTTTTGTTCACAAATGGGATGTGAAAGGAAAGTCCTTCCAGTTACTTACAGAATCTGTGGACCACTTTACAGAGACTTTTAATACAAACTACCATCCACATTATGATAAACAAAGCAAAATAAACATGAACAACCAACAACCAAATCACTTCAGTTCATTAAATAAACTAATATATGACCACCAAAACGGGACTTGATTTTTCAACAGTATTTTTTCTGTCCCTGAAATTAGAAAGGAATACAGCACAATAACCCATAAACTTCATTCTTACAAAGCATCATTAGAAATATAACACTCCACCAAACACACAACGCAAAAGCCAGTGCGAAGAACGCTGTAAAGATGTAGAACAGCTCTGCTAGCTAAAGGTGTAACCAGCGGAGCTAGTACTCAACTGGATTTTTTCTGTTAACTTGTTTTCTCTTATGGTATTTTCCTCAGTAGTGGTTTTCAAACTTGTTAGGTAATCAGATCCTCAGAAATAATGATGCCCTTCACACAGCATCCTGACTTACTCATACATTTAATTCCAGCATAAAATTATACAAGCTAGAAACAATTTTATCAGCAGAAAATATAACTTTATTATAGCTTCCACATCACAAAAATACTACTATAAATAAAATATTTATTAGACTGCATTTCATAACAGGATAATAAATAGCAATTTAAACCAAGCCAACCACCTAGAAAGGTAGGATGCAGAGATGAACTGTTGCTCGGGCAGCCTCGTCTCTTCCTGTCTCCCAACCCTCGCTGGTGTCTGAGAGCTGCCTCGGAGGTGTGGTGCCCTGCTTGGCTCCTCCCAGGAGGCACCATCGTGATGGACTTCTGTCTTCAGTCTTGTGCCTAGTGAACCAAGCTACTCCAGACTGTTACCATGCAAATCTGAGGTACACTACTGCAGACCGCCTAAGCCTGAGAAACACACTGCTCAAATGGGGGCTTCTCTCTCAATCTCTTTGATGCGCTTTAGAGGTAGCTTTGCCATGTGGTGCCCTTTGCCAAGCATTTCACCACTAATCGTGTTGGAACTATTCAATGCCTTCTGCTGATCTGATGGCTTGTCTCCCCAGATTCCCACGTTGAAATTCAACACCCCACACAGCAGAGGGGGTAGGGCCTCTAAGAAGCGGTAAGATCATAAAAATGGCATCCTCCTGAAGGGGTGTTAGAGCCCCAAGAAGAAAAGCCCTCAGAAAGCCACCTCACCGCTTCTTCTATGTGAGGGCAATGTGTTGTCAAGGGAACACATGGACCAGAGAACTGGCTCACAGCAGACCCCGAACCTTGACCGCGGGCTGTTTGTCCTGACAGCGAGCCAGCCAGCTCATGCTATTCTGGCAAAGTGCAATGACAGAGTAACCCTTTCTAGGCAAACTACAGTGAATGCTACTGCTTACCAGCTGCTGCTGCACTAACAGCATCATTCATAATTGTACAAACAAAGACAGGATGTGGAGGAGTTAAACGGCAACAACTAAATCAGGAGCTCAGCCTGAACACCAGCTCCTTTCCCCACGTGCCATGACCACAGAGAGGGCATCACAAGCAGTCCTGCTCTTCCCTTTCCCCTCCCTCTCTTCACTCCTTGATTCCTTCCACTATTGAGATCTTGCTCAGATATCCAAAAATAAATGATTTCACTGTCACCTGCAGAACCCATGGCCATGCCCAACAGCAGCTCTTGGAAAATACCTTTAAAATCATGTGGTACAATCACATATTGAGCGTACTAGACAAATCAGCACACAGGCAGCAGTGACTGAGGAACCAAAGCCTGCCACATTCCTTCCTGCCACCTGACGCCTCTGTACCCCTGGAACTTAGCACCTAAACTTTAAGTAAAGACAAGCTGTATCTAACACGAGCTTTCGGACAAGGGCATCTTTAACAAGACACCATGGCCCAGTTACCACAACAGCGGCTCCAACCACTACTCCAGCTGTGCACTAAAGGGTTTCCTGTCAGCAGTCTGATTGTGGCTGATCCCACTTTATCCTTCAGTCTTATTCACGTGGCTGAAATTCCTAGTTTAGCAACCAGACCATTACCGTATTTAAAGTGAAAGCTTTAGGTTTGGAGTGTCATCTTTTCATGCAGGGTCATCCTGAGCAGCACACACGCTGACCTTTCAGGAAATGAAAACACACTTGCTTTGGGAGGGGCAAAAAGGAGAAATTTAATCAGTGCTCACTGCTAAGAGGACCAGACAGAGAGGCCACGGAACCCCAAGTTTATCTCTGGGGGACCAACATGAGCTTTGAGCTTAAACACTTGGGGAACAAGAACCAGCCAGCTAACCAGTCCTGGTCAAGATGGGACCGTTACTTTTCACATGGAATTTCCTGGCAAACGTCTACTTGGTAGAGGAGCATACCTTAACTGCCCTGGTCTGACCACTATTAAGAACGTGTTCTGTGTGTGTATGGACACTGTGATATAGCCATGCCCTTGGGCTGTTCTGTACGAGCTACGTCCCACAGGGCACACCACCCTACCTATGCCACATCTGAACGCTGGCTGGAGCCTCTGGGCATCGCAGTCCCCTCTGTGCCCCGCATCCTGCAGCTCACTGTCTCTGTACACTCAGGGGCGTGGCCAGTCACCTCACACTGTAACGCATTCCCTCGGCAGCAAGGTTTCCTAGAGACATGCAAGCCTCTCCCAGAAGGAAAACTGTTCTGGTGGCCTACACTGCTTCTAAGTGTTGCTGTGAACTTAAATATTATTTTAATTTTGGTTTTCATTTTTTAGACCATCCTACTATTTCCTAACATTTATTGCTTAAAATTATTTAAATAAAGTCTCTCTAAATCAAAATTTAATTTCCATAAATGTCTATAGCAATGGTCACAAATTAACATGCAATTTAGACTGTTGTCTGGCGGTATTTTCAGGAGCGTTGATCGGATCTTAACACCAGGATTAAGATTTTCTCGTGGGAGGCATTTAAATTTCAGTGTTGACTGCGATGAGAAGCTGGTGTTCAACCCTTCGCTGCCGCCCTGTGGTGTTTAACCCTTCACTGCCGCCCTGTGCTGCACACTGTAAATGAGGCGTGCCCAACCCGAGGGGACGTGAGGAGGTTACTGCAACTGTTACTGCAGGCAACAACTTGTACATGATTTTATTTCCAAATCCACAGAAAACAAATTTATACAAATCAGCACTGTAAAAATGTCAATTAAAGCCCCAGGGGCTTTGCTGGCAGAGGAATTGTCTAAATTCTAGAATATGGGAAAACAGTTTTTTTCCTAGATTCATCTTTTTTTTTTTCCATTTTCTTTTTTACAAAAAATTTACAAGTGAAATGTTACTACGAAACTTTTTATAAGGAATTTTTGCAAAACATTTACATTTTACCATCAACTGTTTCTGTTTAAAATCATTATGTAGATGAAATACCCTATGCTGCACATCAATTTAGGAGGGTGACAACTTAGTGACATGCATAAAAACACCACCAGGCATTAAAATGGAGACTTAAATACAAATATTGTTGCAATAAAACAGTTATAAAATTGAAAAATAGGACCTAAACATCATGCTTATCTAAGTTTGACAAATTAACCTTTTCTCCTAGGCTACACACTTTATTACTGCTCTCGTGAGTGTGATAAATAATGACTTAACATCAATTCTAATGTAATCAGCAGCACATACACAACCCTAACCAAAGAGAGCATACTGTAAGAGAAAGCTACCCTAACACTGGAGTTCTACCATGGCAAATACAGAGCTTTGCACTGATAACTTTACAAAGAAAAGCTTCGTAACGGTGCTAAGAGAATGAGCAGTGAGACGCCATCAAGACTGGACTGCGTGTCCGTGCCCTACCACAGCGACAGCCACTGAGTCAAATACAGGACACTGACGACTGCTGTAAGACAGAGGTGGACTAGGATGGTGAGCAGAACAGACTGTCGAAGTATTTCTAGTTGCGGTGCTGAGAAGGTGCCTGCTGACAGATCGCTCTGTACGCTCTAAGGTTATCCGGATTCAGTCTGAAACATCTGTGACAGGCCTGGCTGCTGCTGAGGACAGCCTGCATTTCTGATGAGCAAACGTGGGTTGCCAGAAACTGGCTCCTGGAAGAGTGATGCTGAGTGCTCAGACTTGGTGCAAACAACAAAAGTATCGCTCGGAGAAAACATGATTAAAACATTAAGAAAATCTCTTTGCATAAAAAAATTTATAGCACTGATTGTGTAGCATGATAGATAAAATATATTTTTAATGTTTCAGTTCCTATATAATAAAATTAAAATTAACACTACCAAATGCTCCTCTGTACCAGACAAAACAACAAATTGATTCTGATGTTTTAAAGCCAGATCCATCAGCTGTTAAGAGCACATTAAATAAAATATACAAAACAATTTACAAAATCCAACTAAAATTTAAAGACTTTGTTACAAGTCTACAAAAGCTTTAAGAAACTTGAAATTTATAACCACAGTGTAAAAATTTTTTTCCTTTAATCTCAAAGCTTTTTTTATACAAACCGAAAGCACAAAAGGCCTCCAGTTTTATATAACGCTACAAAGGGCTGGCCTCGAGTACACAGTGTAAACAATGATCATTACAGTATTTCTCCTTCAGCAGAAACACGAGGAACATCACGATTTTGGAAGAGAATTCTTATGAGTAGTACTTTTCCTGAAATAATAAAGAATGCACAAGAAAACGTATACCTATATTCAAACCAACGATGGTAACAAAGAAAATGGGTAAAAACTTTTTTCCTATTGTCAGTTTCAATAGTTATGATTCTGTGTAAATCGTTCTAAAAACACAAAGTGTCTTACTAATGTTTAATCTATTAGAATAATCCAATTGTTTTTCATATGAAGCGTTTGGCCATCTTTCCTAATAAGACACTGTCCCTTAAGACCCTTGCACAAACAATGAAATATATTTTCAGTCAGTATTTGACTGAAAAGTATTCTGGTTTTCCAAAAATAATTTTTGCTTCATAATATCATATCTATTATACATTTGTTAACCTGTCTAGACCTTTAGGGAAAATTCTGTTATTGATACAACATAAAGATTATCACTGTGATAAAAGCTCCTAATTAACCTAACACAGTACTAGAAACGAAATGGGATTTGCCAATCTTTAGTAAAGAAAACAAAGGTTATAATGTAGCTAAAAGTAATTTTCTGCTGGCCTTGAAAAGTATGATAACTCTTTCTTTGGCTATCAAGTCAAAGCAGAAAGAATCCTGCACACTGTCAACCTAAGTCTTATTTACAGAAATTACATAGATTTGGAATCTATGCAAGCATTTCCAATATGAACATTTAAAATGAAATTTCGCTATTGAATGCAGGGTTAGGCACACAGCCAACCCTAACTTTAAAACATTATTGAACTGCTTTGTTTTGCCTTTCTGAAGCTATGATGAATTCTGTTCTAACAAAATTTCCCCCAGCATTTTCCTAAGGTTTCAACCTAAAACTTAACCTAAGATTTAGCTCTAAGGTCCTCTGTGTCTCCAAAATGGAGAGAATAATTGGCTTCGCTGATTGTCCACATACACACTACTACAATGTAGTGTAATAAAGATCTGAGACACAACTCAGATTACTATTTTGGAACATAACCTAATTCAACTTTTGAAGAATTTTTGATATTTAGAAAAGACGGCCAAAGCTATTGTGAACAGATTTCTAAAACCAAGCTAAAGAAACACAGTATTCTCCCTGCCGCCAGATGACAACCTCTTCTCTGTGCTAGAGAATAAAAGAAGTGCATGTGAGTTATTACTGACCAAATTTTTAACAAAGTACTTTTCAACAGAGTAAGTCCAATTAAGGCCCAGCCTGCAAACTTGTGTGGTGTCTCTACAGACATGTCAACAGGGATGTTAGAGGAGGGTTAAAGGGTGGAAGGTTTTGTGATGGATTTCCAAAACACTACAGCAACTTATACCATGGAAGAAATACTTTTCTGTTTCCAGTATATTGGTTTTCTTTCTCTATTTTTCAAAAATTCAACACTTTATGTGTTGAACCAAACTCCCTGGAATACTTAAAGATGCCAAGGATGCAATGTGACTTCCTACTCTGTAATCCACTTGACCAGCCCATTTCCAGATTTCCAAAGGTGTGTAAACGTAAGCGCAGCACTAGAGGTCTTTGTTATAAACAGCGTTTCAGAATTCTTCCATGTTGGTGGAAACATTGGGAGTTGCTGGATTCGAATCTTGAGAAATGGCTGCAACTGTGACAATCCGTGGGGAGCCGAGCACGTCTGTGACGGAGGAGTCCAGCTCTCCCGAGGTAACTATGGCAAGGGCCGTCCCACCTCCCTTCTTATTCTGGTGAGTTTTGACGTGCTTGGAAAGGTGATCGCTCCGCATGAACCTCTTAGAGCATTCTGGGCACTCAAATCTCTTTTCACCTGTACACACAAGAAGTAAATAAAGTTACAGACATTTTAACTGAATGGATTTTTAATAACTTCTTTTCCAAATATATTGCACTTTGATACAATATAATTTATACAGATATGCCTAGCATGAGCAGCTATATAAGTCTTCTTGTTTCTATGACACTCAAGGGTAAATCCAGGTCCTTACTCATGGTAGGCAAGCCCTCTAACACTCTCTTAGCCCTTTCTGTTTAAAACAAGCAAACCTACCAAACGCACAGTAGAGGAAAAACCACGTGGCTGGGAAGAGAAGGTGTGTTGTGCTGTGAACTGAGGGCAGGGCTGGGGGAGCGGGAGCAAGTCAAATGGCCACCCTGAGCCTCAATTTCCCCATCCCCCAAATCAAGGGCTACCTGACAGAAGAGTTCGACAGTCCAGCAACTGGCCAAGCACAGTGTGCAAGGCCATGGGCACTGTAAGGCTGATAGCTGGGTCTCGTTAAACTTGAGAGGCAGGGCGTATTTCAGAACCTATTTTAAGCTAAGACTTTACTAATATGCTCAGTTTTTCTATGTAAAAAATGGGAGCAGGCAACCTAGTTCAAATTAAATACAGTTTAAACTTCCAAGGAACAATGGTAATATTTTGATCCTTAAATATGTTTTCTACAAAATATGACACTTCTAATTAGAACTTCTATTTTTTGAAATAAAAGTCAAATGTTAACTAAGAAGGAAAACCAAATCAAACGTCTTCTTTCTGAGTAATGGGAGAGAGCACATGAAGCCTGGTTGCTGGTTCTACCCTGACATTCCCAGACGGACACATGCTAGTCCTAGCTTTCGTCCTTCCTCCGCAGCTGCCACGGCAGGGAGGCGGGGTTTTCCCCGTGGAGTGACAAAACTCGGAGAATAAGGACATTTATTGGGCAATTTATTTTTTCTTACCAAGAGAAAATCTACAGTTTCAAATTTTTCCACATCAGATATTCCCCCCTTTTACCTTAAATGCATTTACAATATAAACTTTTTCTTTTAAAGGCTAAATAAATGCACTGGACAAAATTCTCAGAGGCACTACAAATCTTAGCAGGAAGTCTCTAAAGGAAAGGAGCTTAAACATTAGAAATGCCGATACTCCCGGTGAGGGTGAAATCAAAACGACAGCCGTGGCGTTATCTACCTTCTACTCTACTGTAAAAGAAGAGTTCTCACTCAGCTCACACTGTCCAAGCTCGAGGGCCCCGAGGAGTTTTACACTTCTTCACAGAGGAGCAGGCTGAGGCTGACAAACGGATCACAGAACCCACAGCACAGGCACGACAAGGGACACGTCGTGGGACAGCCACGATGCCTGACTCAGAGGCAGGGGTGGCAGCCCGGGTCACAGGGGCCTTCTCCAAGCACACGGCTAGAGGCGAAGCCAGAGACTGTCCAGCCAACACCAACCATCTGCAGTGTTCAGACTATCTGTGCAAGGTGCTGCCTCAGAAAAAAACTCACAATTTCTGACTGTGACTTCTGTCCTCAAATTATCTGTCACCATGCAGATCTATCACCCCAGTAAGGAATTCAGATATTCTGGCCACCGCTCGTGACAAATGGCAAGAGGGGACAATGGTGACATTCATAGTGTGGATGGCCCCAGCCTATGTACTCATCCATTTGGTGACTAAATCAACTTCAAGGAACAAAGGAGCTGGCTAGAATCTTAAATATTCAAATTCTTCTGTACAAGTATACTTTCCCTAGGAAAACGACTTCTGTTAGCTTAATGTTCTTTTCCAGAAGTGTTTTCTGCTATACTGGGTAATAATTTATTTCCTACCTTCAGCAAACATCATTGTGGATTTTACATCAAGGATGTAAAAAAAAAAAAAAAAAAAACTTTTTAAAATTAATATTCTCCAGTCTTTTTACATTTAAAAAATTATTTAATTTATTTACTTTACATCCTGGTTGAAGCCCTATCCTACCTTACCTCCCAGTTCCACCCTCCCTCCCTTCCCTAATCCTCAGAAAAGGGGAGCCCCCTTTCCCATTCACCCCAGCTCATCAAGTCACATCAGGACTAAGCGTGTCCTATTCTCCTGTGGCCTGGCAAGGCAGTCCTGCCAGGAGGAGGTGATCAAAAAGCTGGCAGGCAAGTCCATGTCAGATGCAGTCCCTGCTTCCCTTACTAGAAGACCCACACAAAGCCTGAGCTGCATATCAGCTACATTTTGTAGGATGCCTAGGTCCAGTTCCTACATGGTCCTTGGTTGATGCTTCAGTCTCTCTCAGCAAGCCCCTTTGGGCCTTTGTTAGTTGGCCCTGTTGGTCTTCTTGTGGAGCTTCTGTCATTTCCAGGTCCTTTTCTCCTTCCTCCCACTTTTCCAGAGGACTCCCTAAGCATCACCCAATGTTTGGCTGTGAGTCTCAGATCAGGCACTGTTGGGTAGAGCCTCTCAGGAAACAACTCTCATAGGCTCCTGTCTGCAGGCTTAGCCAAGTATCATTCATGGTGTCAGGGGTTGGCACCCTCCCACAGGGTGGGTCTTTGGTTGGGGCCAGGTATGGAGAGCTGCTGGTTTGTCACGCTGCTTTGTTAGGGAGTATTCAAAGGAAAAACATGATTTCACCCTGGCCTTCACCTTGAGGCAGAGATAGCAGGATGGTTCACCAAGTTCCTTAAACTTGGTTGTGTGACCTTGGACCACATCTGCTACAGGGAAGTGGTTTAAGAAAACAAGTTTGGCAGTTCCATGAACTTCTTTCTTGTATTGATGTGTCTTGTTTTTCTTTGCCTATAAGAAGGAATTGTGGAATAGACTCTTGGCTGCAGTCTTGCTGACAGTCCTCTAGAGCTAGCACATGTGACCTGCTTTATTTATTTCAGCCCTCACTCCACACTCAGGTACTGCTCTACTCTGCCAGCAGGCTCCAGGCATTGGTTGGACATTCCCTCAATCTCTGTTCTATCTCCTAGGCAGGGCAAAATTTGGGTCAAAGTTTTTGTGGGTGGGTTGGTGTTCTCCCTCTACTAGGAGGCTAGTCTAGTTGGAGGGTATCCTCTTCAGTGTCTCTGGCCTCTGCTTGAATCCCCCTCATATCCTCCCAGGAGCCGACCCTGGCTTAGCTCTCCATCTTGTCAGAGAGATAGCCCTACCCTCAGTTTCTCTTTTCTCTGCAGGTCTCCTGTCCTCTGGCCTTTGCTCTCCCCAGGTCTGATCTCCAGCCTCTCAACTGTGCCTTTCTCCTAACTTGTTCCCTCTCTTCAACCATCACCTCTGTCTATTCTATCTCCCCTTCTGAGTGAGATTTATGCATTCTTCCTTGGGTCCTCCCTGTTATTTGTCACTGGCACAGGAGACAACTTCCTGAATAGAACACCAACAGCTCAGACTCTAAGAACAATAAGTAATAAATGGGACCTCTTGAAACTGAAAAGCTTCTGTAAAGTAAAGGACACTGTCAACAGGACAAAATAGCAGTCTACAGATTTGGAAAAAAAAAAAATCTTTACCAATCCTACATCTGATAAAGGGCTAATATCCAAAACATATAATGAACTCAAGAAATAAACAAAATAATCCAATTTAAAAATGGGGCAAAGAACTAAACAGAATTCTCAATAGAGGAATATCGAATGGCAGAGAAACACTTAAAGAAATGTTCAAAGTCCTTAGTCATCAGGGAAATGCAAATCAAAACGACTCTGAGATTCCATCTCACACAGGTCAGAATGGCTAATATCAAAGTCTCAAGTGACAACACATGCTGTGGAGAAAGGGGAACACTCCTCCACTGCTGGTGGGAGTGCAAACTTGTACAACTACTTTGGAAATCAATCTGGCACTTTCTTAGAAAACTGGGACTAGCCTTAACTCAAGACCCATCTAAACCACTCCTGGGCATATACCTGAAAGATGCTCCACCATACAACAAGGACACTTGCTCAACTATGTTCACAGCAGCTTTATTTGTAACAGCCAGATTGTCTCTCAACTGAGCAACAGATAAAAAGTCAAAAAATGCTATATTAACTACAAATTATACAATTTTATAGTTAATATTATTTTAATTATTCCAATAATAACTGGGTTTTCAAAATTCATGACACCTTTTGTGATTAAAACATCTAATTACAGATCAGTTGATATTGCCTAGTCTCATAGGGAACATGGCTCTACAAGAATTGCATGTGTCAATCCCTGGAATTTACATGTCTGTTACAGGGTAAAGGAGTTTCAGAGCTGTGACTAAGAAGGTTATGGAATCTGATACAGGGAAATTATTCTCAGCTCTATAGACAGTCACACCTAATCACACCAGCTGTTCCAAGAGACCTCTCTGCACCTAGGGTTGTCGATATTAGTAGTGTGACAGGGGCCAACCAGAGTTTGAGAGGGTGCCCCAGACACATGGGCAGAGAGAAGCAGGCACCCTCCAGGAGCAACACTGGTCAGGGAAGCGGAACAGCAGGGGCCGGCCTACCCCTGAGGCTGAGCTGACTGATGCTCCGAAGCAGCTTGTTGCCCTGAGGCTGAGGAGCACAGCCGCATGCCCCGGGCCCTGGGCAGGCAGCCGAGCCCCTGACTCAAGAGACTAAACAACTGCTGCATTCTTTTAAGGGGCTAAACTTCTTTTCAGTTCAGTTTTATGAGCTTTTATAAAGAAGGATAGAGAATCTTGCCAAATATGGTATTACTTAAGCCATTGTCCTTTTTTTTCTTTCATTACTAATCTGGTAAATTATATTACCTGCACGATTTTCAAATGTTCAGGCTTTCAAGCCTAGAGTAAACTTTCCAGATCTGGACCCAGGGTGCTCTTTCTTGGAAGTTTTAAACAGTATCCCCTGTCCTTACAAACAGAACTTTTCAAGTTATCTGGTTTTGGTGGGTCAGCAGGCTGTGCTCAGGGCTTCAGCGAGCCACATCAGTGCTCCTGCACTGATCCCATCTCTCCTTGACCATGTATTGGTTCTGATGCTTTTCTCGAAGTTACTTTCAAATTTCGGGTAGTGTCATTCAGGTCATCCACTTAACG